TTATTTAAAATTTAGTTAGGAAAATCATAAGATTATTTTAAAAATAAAGTAAAAATTTAGGGTTTTAAGAGTAAAGACGCAAATCAGTTCTGAGAAGATAGAGTTGTAAGTGAATTAAAAATTTAAAATTAAGATTAGAGTGCATGATTAAAATAGAGAAATAACTTAGGAAATATAGAGATGTTCTATTTTTATTTTTTTAATTAAGGTAATGGAATTATAATCTTGTAAAATAAGAAAAAGAAAATTTAAAATACTGCAAAAAATATGTTATATTATTTAGCTAAATTATCTTCTAATCAAATTTTATTTTGTAATCGAACAGTTCAAGTGGTTTAAAGGTAAAATTACGAATCAAACCAATTATATCGATTTTAAAATTTTAAAATTCAAACCAACTCAATTTTATATTGGTTTGAATTGGTTTTTGATTGAATCGAATCAATTTAGGTCGGATCAATTGGATTGAATCGAATATGAACACCCTTACTAAAATGTATTGTGGTCTGTTTACGTGCATATATGTCGAGATCAATTTGCTTCAAGAATACGTGGACATTTTTCATTTCTTCAAAGTTTAGTTAAATACTATTCAAATTATTCACTACATAATTATAAAAAAGAAAATTAACATAAAGTTGGATGAAATTTGCATAGGCAGACTTGGGGCAGACAAAGCAAGAAATATTATTCTTTACAAATAAAAATGTTATTCTTTAATCTTTAGTAATATAGCTATGCATTAAAAAAAAAAAAATCCTCAGATATTTTTTTGAACGTGAACTTTTTCAAAAAGTGGAAAAAGTGTCAAATTGGCAGATTGCATTTTCTTACCGCTTTTTAGTAAAAATGAATCCGAAGATTAGAGCTTACATTTATTGAGTTCAGTGGACTGATTGAGTCTAATACTATATAGATAAATTTGTAACTTAAATTAATTTCATCCACTAATTCTTGAGTCATAGGCATATATACAATATTTTTATTATGCATGCTAATATAGAAATTAATTACTATGTAATTTTTTTTTTCATCTCTCCATTATAGATTATTGAAATTTATTACTATTTTTTAGATAAAAGTAATTATTTTTAAAAAATTAAAATATTTATTGTAAAAAAATAAATAATTAAAATTTTTTATAAGTGATGTATATACAAATTATGTGTAAGTGAATCTTAACTTAAATATATATACACCAGATTACACCCCTAATTTTTGTTTTTATTTTTTATTTTTTTGTCTTTTATACATGTAATGATGGATAATAAAAGTGAAAATAGTATCAACAAAAATTTAGTTAAGTTGATATTTATTAATTTAAAAACTTTAATTAAAGTTAAAATCAAAAAATTAAATCTTTATATTATCAAGTAATTAACATTTTTTATGTGTTAAACAAAAAAGAGAGAGAGAGAGAAGAGTCATCTTATTATTTTCTCAAATTTCTCCCAATTTTTTTTATCAGCAAAGGAGTGACATCATATATTATTTTTTTAATTTATTTCTATTCAAATTAAGATTTTTGAATATAAAATCTGTATATTAAAATATCACATTCATGCAATTCTTAAGTGGTTGACGCACTTTATATGGCCCTAATTTCAGCTCCTCTATATATGGTCACTAATAGAAATGCATTGATCTACTGTTGCTGTGCATAAAAATGGCCACGTTGCGGTTGCTGCTCCACACATTAACTACCATGCGAGGAGACTCCAAACTATAGTGTCATCCTAGAACCTCAAATTATCTGATGGGCGCGATCCATCCACATTCCAACCCAGACCCATCCAAAACCTCCTCGAGATTATTGCACTCACCCGCACGCAGCTCTAATTTTAATTTGCTCTTGGCCTGCGTTGCTAATCTTTGGTATACGGATTGCCAAGAAGACTGTCTATTTTTTGTTTTTGTCCAATCTTTTAAACATCTCTCAATATTTTTTTACTAAAATTTCTTTTTACTTTGTAAGAGCTAGCTATGGCAGATGAAGAAGGAGAGAGAGGTTGCTTGAAGGAAACACAAGTTACCATAAATGAAAGAGTTATCTTTAACTAAAAGAGGAGATATATATATTTCGTGAGGGAAGGCATGAGTTTCTGAAGTTGAGGACTGCAGTTTTATCCATTTATGAAGTTAAAAATTAAAAAAAATTTGCTTAATACAAAGGAGAGTGAGCACTAGGGTTCGCCCTTGTGTGAAAATTTTAATTAAATGTGAATTTAAGCAAAAAAAAAAAAAAAAAA